CAAGAGCGAGGCCTCGCTTTCGCGCGGGGACGACGCCCCGCCGCCGACGGTCGACGAGGTCGTCGGTCAGGCCAAGAGACTTGGCGAGCACACACTGCCGCTGGAGCCCGATATTCTGACGGTGTCCAATGCCAACGCGGGCATCAACGACATGGAAGAAGTGTCCACGCCCATCATGCGCATGGGCAGCCTCGAGGTCAATCAGAACGTCCAGCTGGGCACGGGCAGCAACGGCACTGTCGTGTTTGCCGGCAAGTTTGACGGCCGCGAGGTCGCTGTGAAGCGCATGCTCATCCAGTTCTACGACATCGCCTCCCAAGAAACCAAGCTGCTCCGCGAGAGCGACGACCACCCCAACGTCATCCGCTACTATGCCCAGCAGCAGCGCGCCAACTTCCACTACATTGCGCTGGAGCTGTGCCAGGCCTCGCTTGGCGACGTCGTCGAAAAGCCCGGCCAGTTCCGCGAGCTCGCCCAGGCCGGCGAGCGCGACCTGCCCAACGTGCTGTACCAGATCACAAGCGGTCTCAACCATTTGCACGCCCGCAGCATCGTGCACCGCGACCTCAAGCCGCAAAACATCCTCGTCAACATGAGTGCGGACGGCAAGCCGCGCATGCTCATCTCCGATTTCGGCCTGTGCAAGAAGCTCGAAGGCGGCGCGAGTTCCTTTGGTGCCACGACGGCGCACGCGGCGGGCACGAGTGGCTGGCGCGCGCCCGAGCTGTTGCTGGACGACGATGCGCGCGACAATGGGCAGACCATGGTCGAGTCGGCCATGTCGACGCAGAGCGGTGTCAGTGCCACGTCCGGAAGCGGGCTCGTCCACAACCCGGACGGCACCGTCAGCCGGCGGGCGACCAAGGCCATTGACATTTTCAGCCTGGGTCTTGTGTTCTACTACGTCCTCACCAAGGGATCGCACCCGTTCGACTGCGGCGACCGCTACATGCGCGAAGTCAACATCCGCAAGGACACGTACAACCTGGACGGCCTGGATGTGCTGGGCGACTTTGCCTTTGAGGCCAAGGATTTGGTCGAGCACATGATTAGCCGCTCGCCGCAGCACCGCCCGCGCACGCGTGCCGTCATGGCGCACCCCTTTTTCTGGTCGCCCAAGAAGCGTCTCGCCTTTTTGTGCGACGTCTCCGACCACTTTGAAAAGGAGCCGCGCGACCCGCCCTCCGAGGCGCTCGCGAGCCTCGAGGCGCTGGCCCCGGACGTCTGCCGCGGCGACTTTTTGAAGCGCCTGCCCAAGGACTTTGTCGACTCCCTCGGCAAGCAGCGCAAGTACCGCGGCGACCGCCTCCTGGACCTGCTGCGGGCCCTCCGCAACAAGCGCAACCACTACGAGGACATGTCGGAGCCGCTGCGCCGCATGGTCGGCGCGCTGCCCGAGGGCTACCTGGCCTTTTGGACCATGCGCTTCCCGAACCTGCTGATTGGGTGCTGGGCGCTGGGCATCGACTGGGAGTGGGCCGACACGGACCGGTTTGTCGACTACTACCAGCCGGCCGGCGGTGTTTGAGGGCACCAAGGAGAGAGAGAAGGGGCTCCGACAGGACGACATAAATTGATCAACCGCGTTTGCTATGTGGATACGATTTGGATACTATTTGGATACGACTTATGGATGGCGGTTGCATACATTGCGTGCGCGTTTTCATTTCATTTCTTTTCTTTTTGTTATTGGTAGTTTTCTTTTGGATTCAATACAACTCTTGGATTATCACGCCATTTATCAAATTCATGCCAGCATGAAGTGCCTGTCCAGTGCCACCACAGTTTTCTAATCGAGTTGTTGACATGTCCTAACGGCCCGCCATGCAGAAATCCAAAATCAAGATGTCATATGTTGGACATTGTGCTAGGATTCCTGACTTCGTCTTTTTCTCGGTTGATTCATATCTATTTACTCGAAAAATCACCCGTGGCACAAGGTAAAAGAAGCCCTACGACTGAAAGAAAGATGTTGACCTTACGGATTCATTGAGTCTTTCGAGAGCGACGAGCATTTTGGACACGAGACAGTCGGATGCCGAGTCTTCATCAATGTGCGATTTCATAGAAGATCATTTGACAATGCAATACAAACCCTGACAGTACAGAATAGATATCCAGGCATTTCCCGACGTAAACAAAAAACACCCAATCTCAATCACAATCCCATCAACCGCCGAAAGGCCGAGTTGTTCACAATGTGGAACCGGCTGCCGACGGCCTCCACGTCCTTGCGCTTGGCGGCCTCAGCGGCCAGCGTGGCAATCGAGTACTTGCCCATGGCCGTCTCCGCCAAGAACGTGCCGAGCGGCAGCGTCGGGCTCAGCATGCCCGGGTAGACGGTGCGCAGGACGGGCAACAGGGCGGCGCCCATGATTTGGTAGGCCAGCGAGGGCGGCTTGGGCGCAAACGGCGCCAGGGCGGCGTGGCCGTGCAGGTCGACACCGCCGGGGCGAACGGACAGCGCCAAAAAGGGACGGCCGGCAGGCGCCGTGGCGGCGTCGCCGGCCGGTCCATTGGTGATGTTGGCGAGCGCCAGCTCGGTCTGGCCCTTGACGACGCCGAACCGCGCGGTCGTCCGCCCGGGCTTGGTCTGGGCGCCCTCGCCGGACACGTACACAAACCGGAACGGGTCGCCGGCCTTGGCGTCGCCCTGCCCGTCGCCGGGCGGAATCTTCTGGAACGCCGCGGCCGCCGCCAGCGGGTAGTCCTTGGTGATGACGACGTACTCGTCTTTGCTGACGCTGAGCTGGGAGATGCCGAGGGCCCAGACGACGCCGGCCGCCCCCTTCAAGTCGTTTTGCAGCAGCGCGTCGTCGTACGTGCGAAAGTCCTTGTGCAGGATCACGCGCACGCGGTCCTTGCTGGCGACGGGGTCGTTGGCCTGGATGCGGGCGTCGAGCTGCGGTACCGGGCGGCGCGACAGGATGGAGATGCGCGTGATCTCGGGCATGCCCAGCATGGCGTCAAGGACGGCGCCGCCGACGAGGCCCGTGGCGCCTGTCAGGATCAAGTGCATTGTGGCTGTAGCGTAGCTGGCTGATTTCAGATATGTGCGTGCGAGGTGTGAAGTTGGCGATGCGCTGTGATAATACCTGTAAGGCCTGTAGTATAGCGCTTGGCGTTGGGCTACGGCAAGTGCCGAATGGTCGTGTATGATGAGCCACGAGAACCTGGAAGGGAACGCCCAATTTAAAGCAGATCCAGACAGTGGCATGAGGATCCGGATTCACCTTTTCTGTCCCTTGCCGACGCCCGGCGGATCCTCTTTGCGCCGCGTAAGACCTTGTTGTCGATGATTGCTCGCTGGCGTCAGCATAAATCGATTTGCGGTCTGGCCGCGCCGTATTTCGTAGAAGGGCATCTTTTAGCGTGGAAATGTGGAACTAGGGGGGACAGCCAAGCCCTACGTCTTAGATGCAACGTCAAGCAGAGAAGCCTGGCGTAATTACGAACCAAGCACCGCCAGCAAGCGACGACGGTTGTCACACGAGCGCCCCGATCCGACCATAAAGGCAACGAAGACAACAAAGACAACATCGGCATGGCATGGCACAACGAGCATGGGCATCGGGGCCTTGACGGCCGTGTAGCCGAGCTTGAGGATCATGGTCGGCAGCGTGTCACAGCGAGTAGCTCAGCCATAAGCTCAGTGAGACGTTGGACGAGCCGCCCCACCAGAAGATCACCATCATAAAGTACTTCTGACGTGTCGGTGGACTCGGCGTTATCAACGTGAAAGTGCATGCTCAAGAAGGGAGATAGTTGAGAGGAAAATCGAGTCGTATTGTTACCTTCGACTTTTTGTCTTTCGCCAGTTGGCCACCGCTGACTCAGCTTTGATTATACCTTGAAGGCAGAGCAAAAGAGAGACAGCCTCCACCTGTATTAAGGAGGCAGAATGCTGCCAAGCATGTATAATAGTGATAGGGAGATGAAGAGATGATTGTATATGGGTGTCTTTATTTATTTGCCTTTGTATGATTGCTTTCCCCCTCTCCCCCCCCCCNTCCCCCCCCTTTTTTTTTTTAAATCAAGTCGAACTTAATAACAAGGCGATGAGCAAGGCTCAATGCCTCCAAAGGTGATGACACACATCGAGATGAGGCTAAGGTAGACAATGTCAACTAACAGACGTCAAATAAAGATAAGTTATCTGTATCATGCCATGTGTAGGACGGGTCGCTCCTTCCAGTGTACCAAATATCAAAATGACCTCGCCAGTTCTTGCCACGTGCTTTGGTTGTTCTTTCTAGTTTCGTTGCTCTTTCCACACTTGCCCGCCCACACACTTGTGCACCCATGAGCGTGTCTTTTGCCTTCTTCGTTCTTTCCTGAACTAGAGGCCGAGTACCCGATCAGAGATGGAAAACATTTCACCCTTTTTTCGTGATCGTTTCTTCGTTTCCAACACTCTTCTCTTCCAATATCCATCACCTATACTGCTACTTAGCTCCTGTCTAATATCAACTGTTCCTGATCGACACCACCTTCAGCCCTCCTGTGGAGTCAATGCTACTTTGCATCCTCGTCGATATCTCATGATGACTGATCTGTTACAATATACTTGCAGCGGTTGGCACCGTCTTCCAACACAGACGAGCACTAGAGGCTCAGCCATGTAGCCATCCTTACTGATATGCTGCAGCCCGTTGAGCAGACAAGACAACGGCTGAGGTAAGACGCGTGAGAAGCTTTCCAACGGACTGAACCCAACCTTTCAGAGTTATCCCCCGCGCAGCGCTGTTCTCCAGTTGAGGAGCAACTCACCTCGACTCTTTTGTTAACCCTCGATTCACACCACTACGTCCATCGAAGCACACACAGCAACACGTCCTTCGACAACTCTTTTGAGGCAAGATACCGAAATCAGAGCCCAGACCATGTCTTCGGAATCTTCTGATCTCCGTAGACTGGAGAGCACAGCGGGGATGCAGAATCAAAACGAATAACGAGAGAGCGAGCCCGAGGTTGACACATCCACCGCCATCTACCGTTCCATGCGGCCGCCCGTCAACCACATCCTCGACCTTCCAGTCCATGTCATCTTTACCCTCAAAGAGTTCCTTCGAGGCCAAGACATCATCCTGCTATCACTCACATGTAAGGATCTCCGCCGTCTTATGATACAGAGACCCAACCAGACCCTTAGTCTCGCCTTGGATATCGTTCCATCCAGACGGGAAAAATACCACATGCTGCTGGTGCGCGACTGTTACACACATTGGGTATGCCACGCATGCCACCAGCTGCGCACTGTCTTTGAAATGGACCTTCCCGGATGCCCCGTTCACATCACCTGGCGACGGATATGCTATAAGGCTCACTGCCATACACCAGCTGTCGCCGGCCCCTTCTCGACCGTGGGTGCGGCCGGCTTGGCTTTTCATCACATTCAAATTGCCCTCCGCTACCAGCGCCTCATCAAAGCCGGCGTCCCGGACACTATGCGGATGAGACGGGCAGTACCAGACACCATCCGCCTTGTACACCAGGACGCCACTCTGTCGCCCGTCCGCATGCTCCACCGCATCATGGATCCCATTTTCAAGACCATGTCGCGCGGCACTGGTGACTGTGACTATGCGCTCCGTATGCGGTTCGACCGCCGGATTAAAGAAGACCACACGGCTACCCGCCCATTCACCGATCTGCCACAATTGCGCTTCGTACAGCGCTCCAGAATCAAGATCGTGCGCCATTTCTCGACCGTTAATTGCATGCAGTGGGACGGAACCATTTTCAACATTTGTCCGCACTTGACCATCATGAGCCAGCACTTGTTCTCGGCCGACCCTCTCCCCCGACACTCTGGATACCGAAATGATCCTCGCAATCTGAAGACGAACAGAAAGAACTGCTACCGCCGCGCTCACTATGCTCTATATACGACAGACCAGGGACTACTGCGGATTGAGCCATGCGTGCAGTACCACACAATCCTCGACGAGGAAAAGGGCGCCTGCGCGCAGTGCTTGACCGACTACAAGGTCAGGGTCTGCGACAACAATACGACACTCTATGTGGATGTTTGGCAGGACTTTGGCACCGAGTGCACTTATAGAGATGCCGATGAATGGCTCATGCACAGCAGCCTCTTATGGTATCGGACCCATAATCCCAGCCTGTATTCCCACCCCAGGGCAAACGGCCATGACAATGTTCGACATCAGCCCGGCGCTGTCTGCAAGTTCTACCACCGAGGCGAGAATGCATGCCCTTGGGACCGTCCACAAACAGACCTTGCTCACATTCAGCAGTTGCGTGTTCAAAATGAGCCAATGGTACTACTTTGGAGGACGAGCTGTGGACAGCACTCTCCGAGACTGTAGGGAGTGTATGGAGTCTATGTGGCTGAACGAAGGTGTCGTGCGTTTGCTTAGGAAATGAATCAAGCGGCGGGTTTGTGTCCGGGTGGCAATCTTCAGCGACTGTACAATAAATTTAGAATAATGGTTCAATAGACTTGACATTGGACAGATTGTCTCCTAAAAGATGTGAGTTTAGTTTGTCGAGCGCGCCATGACTACGTATCGCCCGATCACGTACAATTGCCGACCAACACTGCTTCGTCGCTGACCTATTGTCACCATTCGCGGCTATTGGTGTCGGTCGTGGCGGCTGATTCACGGTTGCTGTAAAGTCCGTAAGGCGACCACAGCGATAATGTTGTACAACTAGCCCGTGTTGGTGGCGAATGGGAATTCGATAAAATATAAATACCAAGAGTCAAGACCTTGTCAGCAAAGCCGGTGCGTCTCCCTCCAATACTATACCGTTGTCTTCATCGCATTTGCTCAGATGGGTTTAGATTTATATGTCATCGGGGGACGCACCTTTTGATTCATCGGGATCTCTAGGATCGGGGGCTATTATTGCTAATGATGAGCTGCCACTATTACGTGCCAGCAGAAACCTGAAGCAAAAAGGATAACGCGAATAGAACTAATTCGAACAGGCCCAGTGGTCTGTTTCGGAGTTGCTTGGTCGGTAGCCTTGGTGCTTGAACCTTGTCTTGAAAAACTGCTATTATTTTTGTTACGATTCGACGCCCTTTTGTGAGCCGGCATTAGAATCAGTCTCCGTGTGTCGGACGATCGCTGGTAGTCGAGGTGACTTAACAAGGGAAGAGGGCTGAAAGTGTATAATAGCAAACACGAGACAGAGAAGACAGGATAGAGAAGACGGCATAAGAGAGGATAACGAAAAGAGACTGGAGTGTATTTCTTGCTACCGAGATAGAAATCAACTCGTCTTTACATCTGTCAACATTAAGACGAGAAGCTGCGATCAAAACAATAAATACGCCTTTCAGTTCTTTCCACTTATAGTTGGCGAGTACACGATGGTGGAAGGAACTACGAACCATATTACGGCAGACCTGCCATACCTTCTGTTCCAAAGTCCTTCAATAAGACAGGAGGCAAGAATGGCCGGCAGCAAACCGCTCTCACCTCGTCTATTTACAACCAGGAACCTGCGATCATACAAGGGACCACGACGCTCCTTCTACTTGCATCCGCTGAGGATTGTTGGAGGGACTACGACTCGTCCAAGCAACACCTCCATGTTTGTTTTTTGCCATTCTGCTTTAAGTAAAGCCTTCCATCTAGTGTATAATTCTTCCCAGCCTCGATACGAGGGGTTTGGTATTTTGTTTCTGTCAATAATATGCTAGTGTTACGAGGTAACAACAACAAACGATCGCGGCATGTAAAGGCGGAGGCAGTTCTAGTGGTGCCGGATTAGTAAAACATGGACGAAATGGTGATACAATAAAAGTTACCCGGCCGACATCCGGGCGGCAGCAGACCTCTCATAGTTTACTGCTTGCGGGTTTCATTCTTCAGATGTCCGCCGACTTTCAACCGCCGGCCACGATACTTACGCTCCGTACGTGTTGGTGCCGCTGGTGGGACTCTCCGTCCGCTGGAGAGCAATGATTGCTACCCGAGCTTAAGCAAAGTGTAATCAGAAAGCAGCTCTTTTGACAGCGTCGGTGGTTGAGTGGTGGTGCCGAAAACGTGGTCCGCTACTCGGTCAAAGTAGCGTGTTGTAATATTGAAGTTGATGTACCACATTAGCGCTAAACATTTCAACAAACAGGGAACACCACCAGCGTCGGTGGTTTAGTGGTAAAATCTGTCGTTGCCAGGTCGGATCACATGATCCGACGCAGACTCGACAGGCCCCGGGTTCGATTCCCGGCCGACGCAAACTGGATTTTCTTTTCAGATTATTTTTGAGATTTTAAGAGTCATGCAGTTTCATGTCCTTAGCATCCGTTGCGGTTTAAGTCTGAAATTTCTTTTTTTGTATCAATCCCTGTTTTGTCGCTCATTGGAAGCATGTGTCGGACTAGATAGAGAATAAAATTCTGAACAGGTCGCTTTATCGCGTGTTAATACTTTAATTGGAAGGTTTGAAAAAGGCTGCGATATTCACGCCCATAAAAACACTTTGTTGACTCAAATTCAAAACAATAACTTCAAAATAAAAAATAAGCCAAAAAACCTGATAACCCGTCCAAAAAAAAAAAAAACACTAATACGAAAAAAATACCACCCAAAAAAAACCAAAACTCTATACTAGTCTATAAGTATTCTTACCGTCCCAACTTCACTCCCGTTCCATTCTCTCGACTACATCCCAGACTTCTTTTGGATAAAGATCGCCGAAGTGGTCGGCATCAACAGACTTCAAACGCCGTAGCAGTTCGTTTTTCGTGTCTGTCGCAATCAGAACCTCCCAATCGGCCCATGCGATGCGGATTGATGACTTATTGTCTTTTGAGGTTTCCGCATTGGCACCGTTTCCGGCTTTGCTAAACGCGTTTTTTGCCGCTTTGGCCAATTCCAGTCTCTTATCTGCCTGTAGCAACTTTGTGGAAAGGTTCCTGTGATGGGCAGATATGAGGCTGGACCACTGCTGCGCTGTCATAACGCACCGAAGAAAGCGGCTGAAGGGACAGCGAGCTTGATCGCGGCGGCACCCTACGATGTAGTCGAAAGGGAGTAGCTCGCCGCCATCAAGTGCGTCCATGTTCGCCCGTAGCTCCACGTGGCGACGTGCTCGAAGGCTGCACTAAATGCCCAGTCCGCCGACAAGTGTCAGAACGGAGAAGACGGTGCTTAGCACCGTCTTGACAATATAGCTACAACTATCGTCAGGCTATGTGCTCATATGTATCGCGAGTTTGTCTTGGAATGCAGACTCACTGTATGTCCTCGGCCGACGACATTTTAACAATTGCCAAGATAGGGCGGGAGCGTAGCAAGAGGGGTGTACCGGCAAAATCGACGTAGAAGCAAGAGCGCGGAAAGGCAGCAACGCGGAACGGCAACAGCACGGACCAGCAAGAGCGATGGAGCAAAGAGCGATGGACCAGAAAGAGCGATGGACCAGAAAGAGCGATGGAACGGCAAGAGCGATGGTGCTGAGGCGTTGGGACGTGAGCTGGGATGGAAGGAAGGACGGTTTTGGTCTTTAAAACCGGGTCCCACTTATTTCAATCAGTATCCAAAGTGGGCCGCCAAGGTCAGACTAAGAGACTAAAAACATATTTTGGTCCCGACCTCGTGATTGGTCTCCACTAATTTTGTCCAAATGTGATTGAGCACTAATTTTGTCCAAATGTGATTGAGCACTAATTTTGTCCAAATGTGATTGAGCATGACTTTAGCAGGGTCCGAGTGTCCCTCAGCCTTGCGAGCGAACCAGCAAAGGGTTGACCGATGCCCTCTCTCGAGTAAATCGTGAATTTGTTTTGTACGACATCCTTATGACACAAGGAGCTTCTTATCTTGAGTATGTATGCTCTAATGCCGTAGCCTATCTCTGATTTATGTTGGTCTGATAAATGCTGTATCTTACGACATACTGGTTTTTAAACACAGTTTTTTGGTGTATTCTAGTATCGGATGGTTTTTGGGTCCATCCTAAAAGCATTACGCACAACGATCAGCTTCTTTACTGAACGACGCATACTGTAAAGACAGAAACTATTCAACGAGCACCACCTAAAATTAGTTGAAAATTCTATTATCTACCTAACGTTCCTGGTCTATCCTGCGTTATCTCTGACAACTAAATTGGCAGCCAGTTGTGCTGTCGCCGCAGCTTGTGCTTTGGCTACATGAGCAGCTGAACAAGCCTCCCAAACGAGGTACTCGACCTGGTTCGGAATATTCCTGTCCAACCGATATGCTAATTTATAAAATCCAATATGAGGACCGGTCATTTCGCCGGATATCGTTTTTAAGATCGCTCTTGTTTTATCGACGATATTGTTTGCGTAGCGCATACACTCGGCTGCGTTCTGTACAACACTGGCCACGAGGGCAACGGTGTTCGCAGAAAACATGGTACTGTCTGCCGTTCCCTTCCACCACCGAGTGGATGATCCGTTTGTAAGGATGTCTCGTATCTCATTCACCCTGTCCTTGGTAATCTTAAAATGTCTGGCCAATTCCGTGACATTTGCCTCGATCTCGAAATAGTCCCGAATGACTACAGCCGAAACAGTCCAGGTATCCGCTGCTGATTGACTAAAGGCGATCGCCACATTAAGAGCCTCTGCCGCCGCGTCAAGCTGCCCCTTTGACGGTGCCTCTATACGTGGAAGCGCCACTGGAGTCTTTGTCTTTTTCTGAGAGGAAAATGAAAATGAAAGCCTAGAAGGTGCTGCACACATTGTAGAGTCACCGACGAAAAGTGTGGTTTCGAAAGCCTCATTCACAATGTTGCCCACAAGGGCGACGGCAAGATCAGCACACGCAATCGCTGTTTGTCCTGTTCGGCAAGCAGACTGAGCAACAATCATATTGTTACGAACGGTGTCGCTTGGTTGGGATATTTGTGAATGTTCTGGGTCGATAGTATCGGTGAAATGCAAGGCGTCGTCCACGCAAAAGGCTAGAGCAGAGCATCTTTTGTTCATGCAGAGAAGTCCATCTGTACATGCAGCCATGGCTGTAACGGTCAATGGCCAGCATAAGTCTCTGGCCTCCTCTTGTGGCGATTTTGGTGGTACATGTGACGTCTGGGCGGGTTCAGTCGTTTTCTCCTTTCTCCAAAATCGGAGTCGATATCGAGAGGGTTGGGACATATTTGAAAGGCAGTATCAGGTGAGGATATAAATTATGTCGAGTTGTATATGTCGTGATGTTTTGTGTGATAGGTAAATTGTGTCGGTCTTTGAAAGAAGAAGGGTCGAATATGGCGTAGATATATATATATGCGAGCGGCTGCTGAGAACCTTAAATTTGACCGGAGTGACGTCTTGTGGCAAAACTATAAACGTCTTATTTTGATGATTAAGACGCGAATAGAATTCTTTGCCATGGACCTCGAGCTACTGGCAGGTCATAAGTAGATGGCCAGTTCTGACTGTGTAGTCGCCGCCCTTGTGTAAGTGCAATTGAAAGTCATATCCGCACCAACAATTAGCTCTAGCTGGTGTGAACGACTGACGACTTGGGATGCTGTCAGGGACACACGTAGACGAAAGAATAAAACGAAGGTGGAGAACAAGACACTTGTATGATTTAGCAAAGTCTGCATGTAAAAAACTAGAGGGGCGAGATGGCCTCTCAGATAGACACAAGTCGTGCTTTTCCTACTTCGACAATAGCTAAATACTCCTTTCGTGAAGACCGGCATCGAGAGCAGGCGTTGCATAAGAACCTTCTTGCCAAAAGTATCATACACCTAAGAATAGAGTTCAAATAGAGAGCAGCCAAGGTATGTAAATGTGGGTAATTGCACGCTTCCAAAGAAGCAGGTGTTTACGCTTCGTGACCAGTGCCAACCAGTGAAAAGGTGCTCCTTAACAGCCGTTTATGTAGTTCATACACTGTAGAGTTTATTTATTTGAAATACAAGATCCCCATGTCAAAAACGTCATTGAAACCACACCAAAGTACAACCATAAAGAAAACCTCCCCTGGCATTTTCAAATCAACAACAAAGGCTGCCAAGGGTGTCAAAATTCGCAGTCCTTAAGCACTGCAAACAGTTCCATTTTCCTGCCTGCCGCAATTAAAACCTCCCACTCTGCCCATGCGACACAGATTGGTGGTTTTGCTGCCTTTAGTAGCTTCCTTGTTGGCACCGATTTCGGGTTTGCTGACATTTTGCCGCTATGGCCACCGCCAATCTCTTGTACCGGTAGCATTTTTGTCGAAAGAGTTCTTTGATGGCCGATACTGGACTGAACCAGCGTCAAGCTGTCAAGATTGGAATCTCGTATCCAAATCCGAGCAGCACACAGGGCGTGAGAAAGTCGCCGCCGGTTTTGGTCAGCCAGTCGAGCTTTGACATAAGCGGTTGGGAGCGTTTCGCCTCGCTTTAGCGAGGCGACCACCTGCCTCCTATTGCGGAGGGCAATCTAGGCCCCGAAGAAAACAGCCGGTGCCAATAAAGGCAGAACGGCGCCAAGCACCGCCTTGACGATGTAACTAGAATAATGTTAGTTGAGTATATCAGTGTTTTGAATAGACGTATAACTTACTGGGTGTCTTGAGAAGTCATTGCAGAACGAGACTGCTGAAAGGCAACGATGGCAATAAAATGGGATTGGGCGAAATGGGAGCTGGGATCAATGGACATCGACACCGTCCTTAACAACTGGTGCTTCGGCACCTTGCAATGTAGTCCACAAGGAGTAGCTTTCCATTTTCTAATACAGCTATGTTTGCCCGTAACTCGACGTGGCGACATGCTGGAAGGCTGCACTAAACGGCCCCTCCGCCAACAAGAGTCGGTGCTTAGCACCGTCTTGGCAATGTAGCTACATCTATCGTCAGGCTATGTACTCGTGTCACGAGTTCTTCTTGGAATGCCGACTCACTGCGTGTTTCGGCCGACGAAATTTTGGCAATTGTCACGTACTGGTGAAGGCGCAGCAAGAGGGTGTACCAGCAAGAACGACGTAGAGGCGAGCGCGAGAGGACAAGAGCGCAGAACGTTATGAGCTTGTAACTATTGAATCGTTAGACCTGAGTAGAGCCTGTGCTCTTGACGGGATGATAACTCTCACCCGTGGTGCCGGTCAGAATCATCATTGGAATGCTTGTGGGAACACCGAAGCGACGGGAAGGTAATATAATTGGAAGAAATAAAGATGGAGAGATGATAGTCGAGGCGATGGATAAAGCAATATAAATGATGTACGTAGTGATGAATTAATGGATGGAAGTAGCAAGAGATGGACAATGTATTGATGGGTGAGTCGTTGGTTGGGTTGTGGTGATGATGCGTGTAGATGAAAACTTGAAGATAGAAGCGAAACACGAGAGGGGAATAGATCTTTGGACCGAAGACGGACCGCCAACAAGGCCCCGGCCACGACAAGCCATACACGGACCCGTATGGATATCCTTGAATACATGCGACAGCTCACCACCCTCTGTACACCGGCCTCACTGGCGGGCTGGGGGCTTGTTGGCGGTTGGTTACATCGCGGACTGCAGACGCGACCAATTGCGTTGCAGCTTAAGCAGATTTATACGCTGTATTATGAGCGCTGAGCAGTGGTGTACCTTCTGTCACTTCACCACAGAAACTTATCTGCAAAGGTATTCGAAGCAGACAAACGACTCGCAATAGCCAGAGACGCCAGAGATTCCGCCAGATCCGTCAAGGACAACGCGGAGGACAAGGACGCCAAAGACTTAATCGTTAAAACGTTATGGGCTGAATGGGAATACCAAATTGCGATGGATGCGAAGAAGGAACTTCTACGACGGGCAAAAGCCGCAGATGTAGAAGAGTTTGCGCATCTTTGCCCGGAACTGTTCTGGGCTAAAACAGTGCTCGGCTCAATAATCTCAGTCATCACGCTCGCCGGCGGTGTAAGCCTTTAGTGCAAGTGAGGGAGGGGGGACGTGGTGATTTAAAGACAGGCCGGGAATGGAAAGGTTAGGTTGGATGGACCGTGGAATGTGGCCCAGGATCCATAGTCTTAACCTTAACGTGGCCCGTGTTCCACCTTACTTCTTTTGACTCATTTATCACAATTCATTCGTTTTTTCCTATGAAGGATGGATAACTAGGAATACCACCGCGTAGAAATGTGTGAAATGCGTCGTGGCTTCTAAAGGGCCCAAAGGTCTCCGGTCCAATGCGGCCATCCGACAAGCCCTCCTTTGTAGATGCCCATGCCACAATGGACTGTTGTGCTGGCGGACGGAGGCTGCGGAGCTAAGCAACCGCGTCGTGTAGGTCGGCCGTGATCGTCGTCTTGACGTCGTGTACTAGGCGCGTCTTGAGCCACAGCTCGGCCAGGCTGACGCCCTCCACAAGCTCCCGTCTCAATGTAGATTCGCCCGTTGGACGCGTGGTATACGCGGTACACTCTGGGTACGAGTATCGTCGTGTGCTTCCGCACGTACAGGAGTGCCTCCAGCTCGCGTGGATCGTAAGGGCCTTTGATGATGCGATGCCTGCTGACCCGGACGACATTGGGCGTGAGGCTCTTGAAGTATGTGCGGCCGAGGCGGAGGCGAGTGGACAAGGGAAGCACCCAGAAGCAGGACAACGAAGAGAGCACCATTATGGCATCGCGGTGGGGGATGTTGAGTGACAGGCGCACCATTGTCGCAGAAGGCTTGGTCGAAATAGGTATCTGCGTATCAGGGGCTGCTTCGTAAAAGGCGTGTTAGACGACGCGTGACAAATCCAGCCACATGACGCCTCATGTTAAACCGTGTGAATTCCACGTGACACCAATTTCAAGGGCGGATAAGTTGACGAGATGAACAGGAAGATGCGTGTACTTTTAATGGGTGGGTTATTCTTGTTGTTTTGATACCGCTGCTCGTTGTGTTATTTTCCTTGCATGGTATTTTGATGAACTTTATCGCCGCCAATGGATGTCTTTGGCAAACTTCCCAGGATAAATGGGAAATTGGCTTGGTTTTCACTGACTGCGTATTATCATCATACCTTTGCGTAATATACCTTTCTTGGAACTGAATATGCCGGAATGCCGTGCTATTACCGCGGGGTAGTCGTGCCGGGCGGCATAGCAAATGCTCATCTCTTTTCTCGCAATCGCTTCCACTCGCCGGTGACCACGAACAGTTAGTCTGTTGGTGCAAACACGTCGCTTTTTGGGTCTCGCAGCAGTTCTGTCTCGTTGTTGATCGCATTGTTTACTCATTTTGTTGCACCACCCAACACTCCCGCCCCTTCAGCCGACATTATGGCCCGCGACGTCGAAACAACACTCAACTACTATGACGACCCTCGCGACGGCTCGGAGCCCACGCCCGTCTACGTCGGCAAGGGCACTGTCACCAACGAACGACCCATGACCGTGGCGCCCGTGACCGCGCATGACATCACGGGTCGCGAAGGCGACTTTACTCTCAACAACTGCGGCTTCCAGCTGCTGACCAAACCAACCGCCGCGGCCAGAGAGTGCATCGCCGACAATTTCCAGAGCCTCGACCTCATCCAACGCGTCTACTTCCCAGACACCGAGGACATCCTCCGCGCGGCGACGGGGGCCGCCCGCGTCGTCATCTTTGACCACAAGATCCGCCGCGGCCCTGCCGACTGGCACGCCCGCGGGCCCGGCAATGCAAGCCAGCGCGGGCCGCTGCACCGCGTCCACGTCGACCAGTCCTACGACGGGGCCGCCTTTCTTCTCCGGTGGACCCTGCCCGACGAGGCCGACCACCTTGCTCAGCGTCGCTGGCAAATCATCAACGTAAGCGCGCTGCTCGTCTTGTGCTTCCTTCGCTCGGTTTGCTCACGCCTCACTTGTATTGGGATCAGGCCTGGCGCCCGTTCCATACCGTCACAAAAGACCCGCTGGCCGTCGCCGACGCCCGGTCCATCCCCGACGCCGACCTCGTCCAGGCCAGCGTCTTCTACCCCGACCACACGCAGCACACGTGGACCGTCACCGCGTCGCGGGACCATCGCTGGTACTACAAGCACCGGCAGTCGCCCGACGAGGTCATGCTCATCAAGTGCTTCGACTCGGTCGACGACGGATCCGTGGCCCGGCGGGTGCCGCACTCGGCGTTCCGTGACAAGGCGTACGACGAGGACCCGCCGCGGGAAAGCATTGAAGTGCGGACACTCGTGTTTTACGAGGACTGACGGGTGGCGATAGCGAGATTGTGGCCGTTTCGTTTCTGACTCGTAGAGATGCTGCACCAGTGGAAATTCATAGTATTGCTGGCGATGCACGACGTACGATAACGCATACAGAAAAGTGTGATAGTTTATTTCATTGGCTCTGGCAATGCTTCCCCTCCAGGCTCCCTTGAAGCGTCCATCTGAAGAATGCATTCTGACAGGACACTTGTTCGGCACATACGAATTCGACACGTGAAGCAAGAAATCTCCTTTCGTCACCATGTCGGCATCGAACACTATGAACACACTCTCTCTCAACTGGAAAAAAGTCATGTATGACCCGGATGCTTCCATGGACATGGCCATGCAACTGACGGGCTGGCACGCGCTCTGCAAGCTGGCCTCGAGCTTGCGCGATGGCATGCCCTGCGTCCCCACGGACCACGCCACCAACGGCCTCAACAACATGGCGCGCCTGCTGCAATTCACGGACGGCACGATGTGGGTGGCCAGGATTGCCATGCGGAGGTCGGCAGCCGCCACAGAGAAGCTGCGCAACGAGGTCGACACAATGTGTTGGATTCATGAACAGTCGCGTTTGCCCTCGCCCGAGATATTCGCGTTCGAAGTCGACGAGCACAATGTCGTAGGCGTCCCCTTTGTGCTCATGTCGTTCATCCTGGGGAACACGGCCATGGATTCGGGCGGTGGCTACGACACACACCACGGCGTCATCCCCGTCGCCCAACGGCCGCACTTTTACCGCTCCGTGGCCCCATGCCATGTCAGTCGAACGCTTGCAATCTACCTTCCCACCATCCGTACTACACGCATTTAACTATGTGACAGGTGCAAATGACGTCCTTGCGACTTCCCCAGATTGGCACGATTCGCAAAACTGCCAACGGCACCTTTGAAGCCGGCCCCCTCCGGGGCATCGGCGGTCCCTTTGACTCCGCGACCGACTTCTTTTTGGCTTGGGCCGACCACGTGCAATTTCCACGCCAGCCAAGCGAAATTCTGGAAATCATGGGCGGCGCTCCCGAGGCAGAGCGCGTCCTACACGCGGTAGAAACGTTCTTGGATCGTTTTCGCGTTGTGGTGCCGCAATTCGTCGCGCGAAGCAGCCGTGGCCGCGACACGGGACCGTTTCCTCTTTGCCACCCCGATTTCTTGCACAGCAACATCATCGTCGCCGGCGACGACGACTACACCGTTCTTGGTGTCATCGATTGGGAGGGCGCCTGCACGTTACCCCTTGAGCTCGTCTGCTTCCCGCGATTCCTCGATGCCATGCCGCGCCGCTTTGACCGGCCCAGTCGCTACGGCCCCGACGGCCTGCCACGCGACGAGGACGAGCGACAGCTGTTGCGCGAGCGCCGCGCATATGTGCAGATGGTTGCGGCGTGGGAAGCACAGGAAGGGACGGACCGCACGTTGTCAGATTGTCTGGCAGACGAAAATGCACAGGCTCTGTCGTATGGTTTGGAGGCGTTCGATGTCGGCAAGATGGGATTTTATGATGACTTGCTCGACGATCTGGACAAGGACCTGCCTCCTACACTTGTATCGCTGTAATGGCGATAGGAGAGGCAACGAGACACCTAAATCTCAATACGGTATTAGCAACAGAAAAACAATAACTAGACGATATCCCGAACTTTGCCCGGCTTACTCTGGTAAAAGTGAGAAGCTGGTTCTTCGTACTTTCACTTCATAGTAGGTTGGGCGCTGGTGGTGCTCGTGCTGGGTAGGACAGGCGGGTGCGGCCGAGCCGCCCCGAGCCGCCACCTGCGCCCACGTTACGGCAGGAGCGTTGCCTCCGCGAGGGTCAGCCGTATGCTTTGGGGCTGCCTGGATTTCAAAATGAGTTCTTAATAACCATAACATCCCTCTGAATGTTCTGTGTGCACTGGACGGCGTCCTTGACGTGATGGTGGACTTCGCTCAACGCAGGCTGCTGGAATACCTTACTGGCCAGCGCCATGCCGAGGAGATGCAGGACTGCACTATGGTCCATGGTACTTGATTGATGTTGCCTCTCTCGACGGTTTGAAGTCGGTTGCAAGCTTCACGTAGGTGTGCAGCGGGCTCGTTGATGTGTTCAGGACCATTGTTTACCTGTGGCCATTTGGGCACCATCCTCTTGTAGCCTGTAGAAATCGATAAAAATGACGCGTTTCAAAAATTTGTTCTGAGCTGTGTGTGTTGCTTTCCCCCAGTGTCGTTTTTGTGCCTTTTTGCGCCTGTTTACATACTCGGCCTCGCCAGTCCAAACAAGGTTTTTCCTTAATCATACAGGATGGTACGGCTGTTAAATACATATCCCACTCTGCGCCCACATTTTCCCAACCCCGCCACATCAATCAGTCAAGTTTTCAATTCAGTCTTTCCGAACAAAACAACCGTCTCCCAATTTCGCCATGTCCCGACTAGACATCGCCGCCAAAGCCGAACTGGCGCTTGTGCTCCCAAGCCTCGTGCTAGCAAACTACCTCCACGTTACAGGCGTTCTACCAGACCTTGTGCGCTCGTTCCACGCCGACAAGGCCTTGGATGATGGGGGGTCGGTCGTTCGACTTGTTTCTGCCGATGGCAGTGTGGCCATTGACGAAGATGTCTGCCCTACTCTCGTAGCCGCCGCTGGTGAGAAGAACACTTTAGTACGATTAAAATATTCCTCTTTTTATTCGCCTTTTTTTCCTTATCACCGGTTTTTTTTAACCTACCGGTGGTGATGTTAACAACTGGTTAATATATAGATTAAAGAGTGGGTAGTCAAGTCCACTGAACTCGCCAGCAAAAACCGCAGAGACGTCGAGGGCCAACTGACCGCACTCGAGTCACACTTGACGCTCCGGACATTTATCGTTGGCCATACCTTAACGCTCGCCGACCTCGCCGTATGGTCCGCACTTCGAGCCAACCCCGTGGGTCAATCCCTTTTACGTAAGACAAATGGTCATACGTATCGGTGGTACAACTTCGTCCCCGCCACGGCGTCCTGGCTGGTGCCGCTCATTGAGGAGCTCACCGCCCCGGCGGCCAAGGAGCGTGCCGAGGACCGTGCCGCGGCCTCGGCAGCGGGCGCCAGTTACGACATTGACCTGCCTGACCTCGTTGGCCCTATCACCACGCGCTTCCCACCCGAGCCGTCTGGTTACCTGCATATTGGCCATGCCAAGGCAGCGCTGCTGAACGACTACTTCGCGCACAGTCGACCAGGCGGGAAACTGATCTGCCGCTTCGACGATACGAACCCTTCCAAGGAGTCGATGGAGTTCCAAGACTCGATTGTCGAAGACCTAGTTATGCTGGGTATCCACGTTGACACAACTAGTTATTCGAGCGACTACTTTCAACACATGTACGATCTGGCTCTCCAGTTAATCCGTGACGGTAAAGCTTTCGCCGATGACGCGGAGCTCGGCAAGGGTGACGAGGATCGTAAAAATCGGTTACCGTCTAAACGGCGTGATATGAGTATAAACGGGACCTTGGCAC